TAACTTTTTTTATTCTGTAAATTATGATACAGACATCTTGCTGATTATTATTGAAACATCTTTTAAAATGATCTTGCATTAAACTTTATTTTGCATATTACAATTTTATCTAAAATTTCTTGTTCAAATGATCCTCTCATTTGAATTTATAAGCTTTTATAATTTATATTTATCCATTCACATATCTTCTCTCCTCTATCTGATTATAAAGTTCTCGAAGGTAGTGACTATGTCCTATTTATCTTCATTTTCACCACCGTGGAGCACAGGGAATACAACAAGTCCTTAGTAAATTTGTAGAAAGAAAATTATTAGCAAGAATTCAGTGAGAGACTGTAAAACATAAATAAAGGGGGCATTTGCAAAACTTGGAACGTACAAGCAATATTTACTAATTCACCACGTGTTTTACCGTAAACTCTGTGGGCTCAGTTATTTGGAATATTTCACTAGAACAACTAATTACATAGGTGTTAAATGAGAAGTTTTCTGTACTTGACTAAGTGAAAATAAATAATAAATGTGCCCTTTTATGAAAGTTGGACACTGAATGATACCAGTTAGTCACATGTTCTGTTTTTAGCACTATCCAACTGTGTTGTGACTTAATGCTGACAACACAGACTGAGAAAACAGGATTATTCAAATTGCCAAGTGTAAATGTGACATTAGTTTACAAAATAATGACAAAAAAATTATCAATGAGTAGGATTGGTACAGATTTGGTTTGCCATTACTAACTCTAAGATAATCTCTTATTTGAGCATTTATCTGGGAAAAAGCCAGGTCTATAGCAGCCAAAAAATCCAATGAGATTTTGGGCTATCAGCACAGTACCAGAAATGACAGACACAGAAAAAAGGTGCCCAAGATAAGTGAGGAGACAAGAGCACCAATGAACTGCATCTCAGGCCAGGCAAGAACCACCAAATAGGATTCCTGAGCCACTACCAGGAATATCTGAAAGACAATGGGAAAGGGGAGAGGTACCACAGTGTTGGAGAAGGGCAAATATACTTTAGATTTTCAAAAAAGGCAAAAACAAGAGTCCAGGCCAATGAGCTTGACTTCAACCCTGGGGAAAGTTCCAGAATGGATCATTAAAGAGACAGCTGGCAAACACTGAGAAAGGGAGTAGTGATCGTGAAGGACCAGCATAACCCCAAGAACCAGCCATACCAGACTGACCTCACTGCCTTTTTTCACAGAATTACTACAATGGATGAAGGGAATCTAGTTTATCTAGATCATGGATTATTCCAAAGCTTTTGATAAGGTATCTCTCATTCTTCTTGTGGAGAATATGGAAAGATATGGGTTAAATAATAATACAATCCGATGATGCAGAACTGGTTAGAGGGCCAGACTCAAAGAGTAGTTGTCATAGCTCAATGTCAATGTGGCAGGAAACCCCCAGGGGAATGCCCCAGGGATCTATGCTTGACCCCATGGTATTTAACATTTTTATTAATAATCTGGACAAAAGCATGCAGGATATGGTCACAGAATTTGAAAATGACACAAACTGGAGAAACAGATAATGCACTAGATGACAGTCAGGATGCACAAAGATCTGAACAGGTTGGAGCACCGGGCTCGACCTAGCAACATGAATTCAACACGTCTAAATGGGAAGCTTTATACTTTGAGTAAAAAGTCGATTTCACGACTGGGGGAGCCACAAATGGACAGCAGTTCTGAAAAAAGGTCTGCAAACTTCATATGACTGGGGGTATTACGAGGCAGCCTTACTAGCTGAAGGATCTCAGACTATATAGCAGTCTCACTGTATGCCACTGGCCTCAGGCCTGTTCTGGAGTCTTGTGTTTGGCTTTGGGCACTCTGGTAGAAGGAGGATGCTGAAAAGCCAGAGAATGTTCAGAGGATGGTGAAGGGCCTGAAGACCATATTACAGGAGAAGGGGTCAAAAGAACTAGGCATAGTTAGCCTGGCTTCCTTTAAGACCTCCTTCCACAGGAAGCCTTCCTTTGCCCCTCTTAATTCCAGTGCTTTCTCAAAGGATATGAAAAGCAATTTTTCAATGAAGAAATAAAAGATATAGTCACATGAAAAAATGCTTTAAATCATCATTAATTATAGAAATGCAAATTTAAATACCTTTGAGATATCACCTCACACCTTTCAGATTGGCTAAAATAACAGAAGGGGAAAATGACAAATGTTGGAAGGGTTGTGGGAAAATTGGGACAGTAATAACTGCTGGTGGAACTGTGAACTGATTCAACCATTTTGGAGAGCAATCTGGAATTATGCCCAAAGAATTATAAAACTGTGTATACTCTTTGACTCAGCAATACCACTGTTAGGTCTGTTTGCCAAAGTGATCAGGGAAAAAGGAAAAGAACCTATATGTTCTAAAATATTTACAGCAGCTTTCTTTGTGGTGACAGAGAACTGGAAATTGAGGGGATGCCTATCAATTGAGGAATGACTAAACAAGTTGTGGTATATGACTGTGATGGAATACTATTGTGCTGTAAGAAATAATGAGTGGGTAGATTTTAGAAAAACATGGAAAGACTTTCATGAAATCATGAAGAGTGAAATAAGCAGAACCAAGAGAATACTGTATATAGTAACAGCAATATTGTTCAAAGAATAACTGTAAATGACTAAACCATTCTGAGTACTATAAATATCCAAATCAACTACAAAGGACCTACTATTCACCTCCAGAGAAAACACTGATAAGTAGAAGGATGCATAGTATGGTTTTACATATATCCATATATACGTACGTGTGTGTGTGTGTGTGTGTGTGTGTGTGTGTGTGTGTGTGTATGTGTGAGAAATGGTGGCCTTCTGTAGAGAGGGAGAGGCAGTCCAGAACTTAAAATGTGACAAAAAACTAAACTAAATTTTAAAAAATTCCAGTGCTTTCCCTCTTTTAATTATTTTATTTATCCTGTATGTAGCTTGCTTTGTATATATTTGTTTGCACATTATCTCTCCCATTAGACTATGAGCTCCTGGAGAGCAGGGACCATCTTTGGCCTCTTTCTGTATCACCAGTGCTTAGCATAGTGCCTGGCACTTAATAGGTACTTAATAAATGTTTAATGAATTGAACTGAACTGAGAAAAAACTCAGAGGGAACATGAAATCTGTCTTAGGATTAGACTTTCCACTTGGCCTCACTGGGCAGAACCAGGAGCATTAAGGGGAAGTAACAAAGAGGGAATAGACGTCAGAAGACAGGAAAGACCTCTAACAATTCTAAGTGTCCCAAAGTGGAATGGGATGCCTCCAGAGGTGGGACGTTGCCCATTACAGGAAGTCTTCTGAAAGCCCAGGTGTGCGCTGGCTCCAACATCATGGCCATTCTAACCACATCCAAATTAGAGAACATGTGATTGAGGCTTCAAGCTTCCTGGCTACCAGAAGATTTCCATCTCCAAAGAGCTCCCCAGGTCTGATGCTGGTGAGTGGGAGCACACAACAGCTGAGAAGCGCCTCATTCCTGATGGCAGTGGATTTCAGTACAACCCAAACAGGTGCTTTTCCACAAATGGGAGCTGGGCTCGTCACTCACGGGGATGGCTTCTGTGACAGTTGCCCTTTTCAGGCCCAAATACAACTTTATACTCCTAAAAAAAGGGCTCTTTCTGCCTTCCTTGCTGCCAGGTGTCATTTCATATTACTTCCACCACCTCACATCTCCTCCTGATTTGCTATTTCTAATCTGCTTTGGGCTAAGGAACCAAATAATCAAGCTGATCATAACTGATAAGAATGGACTCTGAGTCATGGCTGAGGAACCGTCCCCAAGAACAGATTTTACCCACAGCTTTTTATAACATCAATATTGGCTGCTCTGGCACCTTTTTTGACAACTTATTGATTTTTATCTATGTCCTAGATAACTGAGGTCACTCAATAAGTGACCTGTGAATAATTAGCTCATTTTTTTAAACATTTCATCGCTGCTATCAATCAACAAGCATTTATTAAGTATCTGCCATAAGCTAGCGATCTATAAATTGTACACAATAAGACTAACCAGTAAAAACATTATGATCCAGCTAATGAGCCAACAGGAGGGCAACGGCTGGTGTAACACGGCTTCCTGAGGCCAGAGATGTGTAAAGGAACCCTAACCCTGAGACCCTCCTCTATACTTGTCTGAAGGATAGTAGCTGCAAGCTCAGCCAGACTTGGAAAAGGACAATTAGAGAAGACGAAGGCCCTCTCACTTGGCAAAGAGATTCTGGTTCAGGTGAAAGTTGTGCTAGCTCCAGAACAAGGTGATCTCCAACCCTTTGAGGGTCCCATTACTGTGTAATCCAGTCTTTCACAGCCCCAAATTCGTTTTCCTGTTTTCCCTCGATATGCACAACCAGAGTCTGAACAATGACCACAAGTGCCTAATTAAAGCTAACAGCAAATGAATAAAATATACACTTACGTTCAACTATGTCTAAACTTTTTATTTCGATAATGTTACTTTGTAGTGAAATTCTTGGACATAAAAATCACTTTTATATTACTGATTCATAATTCAAAAGACATTCATTAAGCACATACTATATGCAATAGACTGACATTAAGTGCTTGGAGAACTATAAAAATAAACACAGCAGGAGGTTTTGTTTTAAAGAGACAATTTTAAAGTAATCCATTGCCAACCTACCATACATAACATGTAATACTGGACAGCATCAGATAAACATTAAAAATAACAATTCTTTGTCTTCAGTTGTTTGCAAAACATTTTGTTTACAGTGATAAAGGTAGAGGAATGAAAGATTTCACCGTGGCTTTTAAAAAATTAACAAATTCTGCAGAAAAGTGGCTTATCAAAAGTTTAATGAAAAGCAGTTAAACTGTTGGCAACTCCCCCTGCCCCCTAATATTACTGAAACTTAAAATGGAATCAAATCATCATTCTAATTACATTATACTACTCTGCATTTGCTATGTACTATTAGGCATTCAAAAATTTTCTAACGTAATTCAGAATCAGGTTAAAAAATACTTACCATTAAAATGAGCTTTTGGTATTTCTGTTTCAGGTCTTTCATGCTTGCCGATGGCTCCGCACCCAGAACACTGTACCAGTCCTTTTGAGGGAAGGGTTCAAAAGCCATGGTACACTGCACAAGGCCTTTCCTTAATGTACTGCGTTAAAAATATTGAAAATACTTCATTACACTTTACATTAATCTAATGGAAAAGGGAGGAAGCAATTAGGTTTGGAAGTCTGAAAATATTTACATAGTTCATATTTATAGAGTTTTATGGTTTAGGGAGCACTTTACATATATCATTTTGTTTGATCTTCACAAAATCAATCAACAAGCATTTATTAAGAATCTGTGTGTTAGGCACAAGGTGGGGGATAAATATATAATGAATGAAACAGTCTCAACTAACAAGGAATTTATACTGTAACAGAGAAAACAAGGATGATATCTATATATGTGTCTGTACATAACATAGTGTGTATGTATATAATATGTACATATACAAAAACATATAAATTAACATATATGTATATATAAAACTTGTGCAGGTATGTATGTATAGGCCCAGCTAAAATGCTACCTCCATCCTAAGCCTTGCGCCCTCCAGTGACTTCAAAGAAAAGTGCCCTCTATTGCCCGTGGGCTCTCATACCCCATGGCGCCCCTCTTGTGCACTTGTACCCTCCACTTGACATAGACTTTATGTTTTTCACATACATCCCCTTCTCTCCATCGGTGCCAGCCTGGTACAGACGCCTATCACCTCTACCATGGACCAATGAGATATCATTCTGGGCGCTCTTCCTGCCTCTAGTCTCCCCCTACTCCAGTCTGTCCTCTCCTAGGCTGCCCAAGTGATCTTCCTAAAGTTTGGGTTTGACTGTGTCACTATACTCTTTTACTCAACAAACTCCAGTGGCTCCCTATTACCTCCAGGATCAAATATAAAATTCTCTGTTGAACTTTTAAGGACTTTTGCAACCTGATCACTTCTTTCCTTTGCAGTTTTCTTATACTTTACTCCCTTTTGAGTAGTCTACAATCAAATGCTCTCCTTTCTCCTGGCTTCCTCAGTTAAATAAATAAAGGCAGTCTGGGAAGGGGGAGGGCTCTAGCAGTTAGGAGAGAGGACCAAGGATGGTTTCATGTAGAAAGTTGTGCTTGGGCTGCATCTTGAAGAGAGGGATTCTATGCATGGGGCAGGGAAGGGGGGATGGGAAAGGGGAGGGGGAATCATTGCATGCAGAGACATGGTAAACAAGGGATGGGGTGTCATGGACGAGGTACAGAGAGAAAACCAGTGTGGCTGGATCACAAAATGTGGGAAGGGGAGTAATGTTCAATGAGGCTGGAATGATAGCTTGGGGGGTCAGGTTGTCAAAGGGATGAAAAGTTAAACAGATGAGTTTATGTCAAGTCTGTTTGGCAGGTTTCTAAAAGAAGCATAGTAAGTGTGAAAAGCACTGAATTTCATCTCTGCTCTAAGCTACCCATGTGACCCTGGGGCAAGTCACTTAAGCTCCCTATGTGACCTTGGGCAAGTCACAACTTCTTGGAGATTCAGTTTCCTAGTCTGTAAAACGAAAAGGTTAGAATAAATTGTCACTAAGGTCTAGTCTAGAGGGGCAGCTAGGTGGCGCAGTGGATAGAGCACCAGCCCTGAAGTCAGGAGGACATGAGTTCAAATCCAGCCTCAGACCAAACACTTGACACTTACTAGCTGTGTGACCATGGGCAAGTCACCTAACCCCAATTGCCTAAAAAAAAAAAAAACCCCAAAACAAACAAACAAAAAAAACTAAGGTCTAGTCTAAATCCAAGAGTGTTCTTATCCATATTTTATAGAAGAGGAAACATTTTTCTTTCCATTATTCCTGCTTTAGTAAATTACAATTACTATACATATTTGACAATTACATCTTAACTCTTAGAGAATTGTATTTGTAGATGCCCATAAATGTGGAAAAAAGGTTAAACATAAGATAAAAGGATAAATCAAACTTCTTAATTACCTAAGAGAAAATGAAGCAAATACATTTAAGACAATAGCACATGTAAATTCATAGATAATAGTTCACATAAGCTGAAGAGATCTAGAGCTGAAGAGGAAGGCTAGTACAGCTGAAAGCGTACTTGTGCTGGTGTCTAAGAACCTGAATTCAAATCCCATTTCTCATGTTTACTACCTGGGTGACTCAGGGCAAGTAATTTTGTCTTCCTGGCCTTCAGTTTCTTCAAATGTAAAATGAGGGGGCTGGATTAGATGGCTTCTGGGGTCTCGGCTTTAGATATAGGACCCTATGACCTAATGTCCACCTGGTCCAAATTCCTCATCCTAGAGATGGGGAAACTAAGATTAAGTGACTTGACCAAGGTCACCCAAGAAGTAAAATCAGAAACTGCACTGGAATCCAGATCCTCCAACACCAGAGTCAGTCTTCTTACATTTACATGGGGCCTTCAAGTTTGGGACTTTCAAGCTTACAGAGATTTACATATTTTACATAACAACAACCTAGTCATACAGGTAATATGACTGTGCCCATTATACAAACAAGGAAACTGAGGCTGAGTAAGGTTAAATGGCTTGCCTATGGTGAGTGCCTGAGGCAATATTCAAACCCAAATCTTCCAGACCTCAAGTCCAAGCCCCTATATATGCTCCCTAAAACAGTGAAAAGCATAATTGTCAAGAGAGCTGGATGGCCAGTTACTACCTTCCTTATGACGTTTTCAGTAAACCTTCTGGGGCCTCAGTATCCTCATCTGGAAAATAAGGGTTTCGATTTCATGACCTCAAGGGAAAAGGAGAAGGGAACAAGTATTAATTAGGCACTGGCTATGTGTGCTAAGTGCCTTCTAAAGTACTAAGCACTGTGCTAACTGCTTAACATTTGATCCTCACAACCATCCTGGGAGGCAGGTGCTATTACTCCCATTTTACAGCTGGGGAAACTGAGGCAGGCAGGAAACTGAGACTCATCCAGGGTCATGCAGCTGATGTCTGAGACCCACCACCCTATGCACCACTCATCTGCCTCACTAAACCTACATACTCTTGAGAGTTTCCTCATTTAGAAAATGAGTTTGGACTCCATGAAGACTCAGGGCCCTTTTCTAACACTAAATCTATAATACCCTGACAAATAAATGCTTATTGACTATGATCATGAAACTGGGGGATCCTCTCCGGACTTTTTTTTTTTTAAACTATTGTAAACTATTATTTTTATACTAATCAAGACTAAAGGATGACTAAAGACAAACATTGAAAAGACATCCAAAGAGCCACCAGAGAAGTCAGGACAGAAGAGAATAGGGGACAGGGAGGTGGCAGTGAATAGAGCTCCGGGCTGGAGTCAAGAAGACCTGAATTCAAATCCAGCTTCAGACACTTACGAGCTGGGTGAACCTGGTTGAGTCACTTAACCTATGTTTGCCTCAGTTTCCTCACCTGTAGAATGGGGATAATAATAGCACCTCTTTCCCTGAGTTGTTGCTAGGACAAGATGAGATTAAATTATAACGCTCTTAGGAGAGTGCCTGGCACAGAGTAGGAGCTATCTATATGAGGGTTATTTCGCTAACCACAGAGTCCTGAGTGTGAATCCTGGCTAAGCTACTTCCTACGTGTCTCACTACGGGGCAGTCATTTTCCTCTCTTTGGGCCTCAGTTTCCCTATCTGTAAAAAGAGAAGGTGGGGTCATTTGGTTTTTCTGGCATCTTCCAGCTCCAGACCCAGGGCAGGGAACTCCAAAATGGAGCCAACCAAGGCCCTTCCTCTATCTGGGCCTCAGTTTCCCCATCTGCAAAGGGAGGGGGTGGGACCAGCTGGGCACCTTCAGGCTCCGGACCTATGACCCGGCCCGAAGCGGAGGCCGCCCCAGAAAAGCGGGTCCCCCGGCCGCCCGCACTCCCTCCACCGGCCCCGCGGCTCTTTGGCGGCCTCCGGGTACCCTCGGCCACCGCCCGGCCCCCGCCCCACTGGGACGCCGTCTTACCGGAGTTCCCGGCGGCGCAGCAATACAAACTTGGGCCGCCGGCCGCTGGGCTCTAACCTTTCCGGCGGAAGTAGGTAATAGACCTCCTTTCCCCGCCCCCATCTACCTTGGCCTGTGAGGAAACCTTGTTTCCGGCCGGGCCACAATGACTGCAGCACCAGGAGGACGTCACGTCCTGATGATCGCGACGCCGTCTCCATGGTAACTAGACGCCTCTCGGGCCCGCGGGCGCCGCGGCGCTCTGGCCACTGCGCAGGTTCAGCTCTTCCTCCAGCCCGTGGCTCGCTGAGCGCGTGGGGACCTCGGTCCAGCCCCTGCCCGGGCAGGCCACAAGAAGCCGGGTCTCTGAAGGGATGCCAAAGGTAGAGGTCTTCCAAGGTCAGCATGCCAGTGCTGCTTCCCTGGCACGTCCCAAAGTTAAGGCACTGAGGGACAGCTCAGGACCGACCAAAGCTGCCACCAGAAGTAATTATCACGAGGGCGGCACTTGGCGTGGCCCTGGGACTTTTGCGTGGGCTTTAACGTCACGAGCTTTCTCTCCTGTCCTGGGAGGCCGGCGGGACGGGTGTCAGTCCCGTTTTGCAGGTGAGAAGCATCAGAGAAGCCCATAAGATCATGTTTAGAAGTGGAGGCTAACGTAGAGCCTAGCTAACACCACCCCCTTATTTTACAGATGAAGAGATTTGACGGGACCTCCCCAGAGTCACAGAAGGAGTGAGTTTCGGGCTGTTCAGTTGTGTCAGACTCTATGTGACTCCGTCTATGAGGTCTCCCTTGCCAGAGATACCGGAGTGGTTTGCCATTTCATTCTCTAGTGTGTCCCCACTTTACAGATGAGAAACTGAGAGAAATAGGAGTTAAGTGACTTGCCCAGGGTCACATGACCAATAAGTGTCTGAGGCTGGATTTGAACTCGGATATTCCTGACTCCAGGCGGGTTGCTCTGCACTCCCTAGCTGCCCTTCAAAAAATAACTCTGGTGTCACCTCCTTGATGAGGTCTTTCCTGATCCCCTCAGTTGGTAACAGTCTCCTCTGTCAACTAGTTAGAATCAACCTCTAATTTGTGGATGGCCAGAGACAAACAGAGCAGGCTGGAGACAGGAGAGTCAGGAATCAAACAGAAGTTTAATTTCAAAGTGAAGGAAACAGCTTGCAAAGAAGAAAGGGAACTAGACACATGTGCAGGGTGCCACTAGTGCACCCCCGCTTTATTGTAGGCAGATCTCAAAACTTATACAAGTTACACGAGTAACTTGACAATGAAGAGGTTAACAGTGACACTGTGACAAAATTTGATTCATAGCAGGACGGCATTTGTCCAAACTTTTCTAGTGTTTGCCTTAGCTCAGAGAAGACCCAATGCTGGTCAAAGCAACACAATAATTATGTGATTTTTGCCATAGGGTGAGCTCATCCAGAGGGTGAGAGCAAAGGATTATTGTCATGCCAAGCTCAGGGCACAGCTTGCTTGTTGGGCCTTAGCTCTGGAAAACAGGATGTCTCCGAATATCTTGACACCTCTTAAATTACTTTTCATTACTTTGTATTCATGTATATCCATACTGTTATCTGTTCAACACCCTGAAAGGATAGACTTATTTCTGTTTTTTTGTCTCTGTATTCCTAGCACCCAACACAGTGATTTGTCACTTAATAAATGCTTTTTGAATTTTGAATTGAACCGAATAAATCAAGTAGCAAGCTGGTTGCTGAACTAGAACTGGAATAGCATTTCTCAATATGGTACAGCAAAAAGAACACTAAAATAGGTCCGAAGAACCAGTTTCAGCCATAGATACTCTACTTAGTTCCTTGGGTAGAGCACTGAGCCTAGAGTCAGGAAGACCTGAATACAAATAAGGCATCAGACACTTATTAGCTGTGTGACCCTAGGTGAGTCATTTAACCTCTCTGTCTGCCTCAGTTTCCTCAACTTTATAATGGGGATAATAACAATACCTACCTCTCAGATTGTAAGGATTAAAGGAGCTAATATTTGTAAATAGGAGGCACTATAGAAACACATTTACTTCCCTTCTCCACTTGAACAAGTTAGTTCTTTCTTGGTTTCCCCACCCTTAGAAAGGTAACAACAACAGCAATAATACTTGTCCCACATTCCTCTCAGGGTTGTTGTATCAAGTGAAATAATGTAAGAAAAGTACACGTCATATAAATGTGAGATTTCGTTATGTTAGAAACAAAAAGCTTCAATTACATAAGTAAACGAGCTTCCTTCAAAATACATGACAACCTATAATTGAGAAGACGTAGTCTAGCTGTCCTTTTATCCAGAGCAGCACTAAAAGAAGTGGCTATTTCATGATGAATGGGATGTAGGTTAGATGTAATCAATGACTTTTTAAAAATTATTATTAACGTATTTTTATTTTTCAACATTCACTTCCATTAGCTTTTGAATTTTAAATTTTCTCCCTCTCCCTTCCCACCTCCCTCCCCAAGATGGCCTCCAATCTAATATAGGCTCTACATATACATTCCTGTTAAACAAATTTTTACCTTAGTCATGTTGTAAGGAAGAGTTAGAACCAATAAGAAGAACCACAAGAAAGAAGAAACAAAACAAAACAGAAGAAAAAAAAGAGCATATAGTATGCTTTGATCTGCATTCAAACACCATAGTTCTTTCTCTGCATGTAGATAGCATTTTCCATCATGAGACTTTTGGAGATGTCTTAGATCCTTGCATTGCGGAGAAGAGCTAAGTCTATCAAAGTTAGTCATCATACAACGTGGCTGTAACTGTGTACAATGTTCTCCTGGTTCTGCTCACTTCACTCAGCATCAGTCCATACAAGTCTTTCCAGGTTTTTCTGAAGTCAGCCTGTTCATCATTTCTTATAGCACAACAGTATTCCATTACATTCATATGCCACAGCTTGTTCAGCCATGCCCCAATTGATGGGCATCCTCTTAATTTCCAATTCTTTGCGACCACAGAAAGACCTGCTATAAATATTTTTGTACATGTGGGTCCTTTACCCATTTCTATGATCTCTTTGGGATACAATCCTAGAAGTGTTATTGCTGGGTCAAAGGGTATGAACAATTTTATAGCCTTTTTGGCATAGTTCCAAATTGTTCTCTGAAATGGTTGGATCACTTCACAACTCCACCAACAATGTATTAAAGTTCCAATTTTCCCACATCTTCTCCAACATTTATAATTTTCCTGTTTTGTCATGTTAGCCAACCTGATAAGTGTGATGTGGTACCTCAAAGTTGTTTTGATTTGCGTTTCTCTAATCGATAGTGATGTAGAGTATTTTTTCATATGACTATAGATAGCTTTAATTTCTTCCTCTGAAAACTGCCTGTTCATATCCTTTGACCATTTATCAATTGGGAATGACTTGTATTCTTATAAATTTGACTTAGTTCAAAATATTTTAAAAATGAGACCCTTATCAGAGACACTGGTTGTAAAAATTCTTCCCCAGTTTTCTGCTTCCCTCCTAATCTTGGTTGCATTGGCTTTGTTTGTGCAAAACCTTTTCAATTTAATGTAATCAAAATTATTCATTTTACATTTCATAATGTTCTCTATCTCTTGTTTGTCATAAATTCTTCTGTTCTCCATAAATCTGACAGGTAAACTATTCCTTGCTCTCCCAGTTTGCTTATAGTATAAGCCTTTATATCTAAATCGTGTACCCATTTTGACTTTATTTTGGTATAGGGTATAAGATTCTGGCTTATGCCTAGTTTCTGCTATATTCTTTTCCAGTTTTCCCAGCAGTTTTTGTCAAATAGTGAGTTCTTATCCTAGAAGCTGGGGTCTTTGGGTTTAGCAAACAGTAGATTACTATAGTCATTGACTACTGTGTCTTGTGTACCTAACCTATTCCACTGATCCACCACTTTATTTCTTAGCCGGTACTAAGTAGTTTTGATGATTGCTGCTTTATAATACAATTTAATATCTGGTATGGCTAGGCCACCTTCCCTAGAATTTCTTTTCATTAAGTTCCCTTGATATTCTGAAACTTTTGTTCTTCTAGATGGATCTTGTTATTTTTTCTAGTTCTATAAAATAATGTGTTGGTAGTTTGATTGGTATGGCAGTGAATAAATAAATCAATTTAGGTAGAATTGTCATTTTTATTATTAATCAATGACTTCTTGATAATTATGGTAGTTAGAGAATAGAAATGGTTTCAAAGATTAGGGAACTCATTTATCTGGAATTTTTAAATTGTGATCCTGAAGACTTGGGGACCTCCAAGAGATCTTTCTAAAGCCATGATTTGACTAATTTTTGTTATAATAATAGTGAATATAGCACTTTAATGTTTGCAGAACACTTTACATTTAAACTATTTTATGACGGAATTAATACATGCCGGAAATGTGGAAAGAATTTTTGTTGGAACTCCTTGTGAATCTGACATTTGAGCAATAGTCTAAATCTCTTAAGCTATGAGTATTCAAGAATTAGGGAATCATGGTATGAAAGTAAATATTCCAGTCCAGTATATAAAATCACAAAAACCTGAATAGACTAGGTGATCTGAAAGGTTTCTTCCAACTCTCAACTTGTATGCTTCTATGGAATGATCATTTAACTGGACATTAGAAAGCACCTAGATTGGTAACCCAGGTACCACGATGTCATGGGTAAAGGACACAGCACCAAGAACGTAAGGAGAAAGGCCTCTTGCAGAAGGTGGGGTTTGAGCTGTGCAGGGGTTGGTTGCTCCTCAAAGTCCTAGGGGTGATGAAGAGGGGTTGGGTCAGAGGTGGTGTGAGCCTTAAATAAGCTAAAGGATGTGAAGCACTTTGCAAACCTTAAAGTGCTATAGAAATACCACTTAACATCATCATCTTCATCATCATCATCATCATTATCGTTATCATTATCCTTATCATCCTCTATTCAGCAGTTCTCCAGTCTGGTGATGACTTCATTCCTTAGGCCATCTGCTATGCTCCTGCTGAGCTGAAGCAGTGATTATAGGGCATAATTATATTATAATAATAAATAATAATATAAAACGCATGATAAATATATAAATAATTATGAATGATGTCATAATTATAAGCTAGCATTTATATA